GATCAGTTTAATTTGATGATAGAAAATAGTTTGTACACACGGAATACCGAGCTAAAACCAAAACTTAATATTTTACAAATACTTTAAAATATAAAAACACATTATATATTTCTTTTGTCTACAATTACTTTAAAGATGGTTAAACTTGAGGTTATTTATTGTGCCTGAGTTCTCTTGCCTACGGTCATCAGAGAGGGTTTAGCGCATCTTGTGATTTATAGGGCAAACTGTTCACATAAACCACCGGAAGCTCCACATCAGAAAAATATTCTAGAGTTAAAATTTGGGTATGTGTTGAATTAATAGGTAGGATAAGAAGAAAAATATGGATGACAGTTTTAAAACTGATCCGAACCGAACAAACGTATATGTCTAAATCATTTGGTTCAAGATTTTATCAAACCGAATGGTTCGGTTTGGCTTGGTTTAAAACCGAACCAAACCAAAAAACTGAAGTGCTTTTTATTAGATTAATTAAATATAATAATAATAATATATTTAATATATTTGACCATTTAACCTAAATAGCTAATAATTTTATACATTTTACTTTTAAATGAATAGAATAAACACAACTCAAAAAATATGAATCTATACATTAACATCAAACCGAATAGTTTTATAATTTTATATCAAGTTTGACGATAATAATATAAACTTATTGGATTATATCTTTTATATATTTATTGTGATGTTTGGTTTTACGTTTAAATATGGGAAAAACAATGATTTAGACATAACCGCATTTGCCGTGGCACATCAAAAAAATTCTTAACTTTAGACATTTTCAAAATAGCTTATAATTTTATGAAATATATATTTTATACATTTTGAATTATATAACTATGTGAAACCAGTGTCTGTCTTTTATGGTTCAATTTTTGTACTCATTGCCGTTTCTAATGGTTCTGTTATTCTAGTATTTATTATTAGTTCCAATAGTAAGAATATTCAGTATTTAGTTCTAAAATTAGTTATATATATATATATATATGTATTTTTTTTTTTTTTGAATGAATGTAAAATTTATTCAATCAAACTTTTTTATATCAAGTGCATCATTATTGTTTTAACTACAAACACATAATCTTAAAAGAATATCCTCAATTTCTCATCTTCTATCTTGAAATTATGGTTCCGAACCAGATAACCAAACTCTCCTCAAAATGTTTTTTCCCCATTCCCTTCACTGCCAGCAACTTCAGCCAAATCATTTTGTCCACCCACTTAACCAAGCCTTTCTCATCTCTTGATTGCTCTCCATGTCTTCTTGCACAAATTAGTTTCATATATTACAATACATATTGAATCAATGGCCCAAAAAGAAAAAAAATCTATTGTACTACTTTTATACAACACACTCTTGGTAGCTTAGTCTAGTTAGTGAACGAATGGTTTATAAGCTTAACATTTTTTAAATCAACACCATCCTAGATTACTAACTTAATCTATCTATCTAATGACATTGTTATAACTATGTAGCAGGGACCCTTTATGTTGACGTAAGTCACAGGCATCAAGCACAAGTTGCTTTTGAATTTTTTAAAAATAGAATTATGTCAACTTTTCATGTTTTTGGTCTATGAACTTGGCATTTCATATGGTTCGGTTTCAAATATATAAACTAAGAAAAACACTGAAGAAACTAAAACATTTTAAAGTCTGAGAACATTCACTATGGTCATGACATGTTCTTGTTCTTCTTCTCCTTCTCGACCGCAACACTTATTCTTGTTTTTCTTCTTGTTCGTCTATTTTCTCAGCTTAGCACACAACCAATCACCATAAAAATTGACGGTTCTGTATGGAACCTCCCTTCAAACGCAACATGTTTATCCCAACAAAAGCAACTTCTCCGGATCTTTGTTCTCAAACAACCTTAACCATCTTGTCTCTTCATTCTCTTAACCTAACACCTACAACTTCTACAGCTTCTTGGTCAGAGATCAAGAACGAGTAGAATCCATAGGACCCTGCAACAGAGTACTCACACGAGTAGATTGTCTCAACTGTATCTCCCAAGCTGCAGTAAACCTAACCACAACTTACTGTCCAGCTCATAGAGAAGCTTGCGTGCGAGCCATGAAATGTATGTTTCGTTATTCAGACAAACCTATTATAGGGAAATTGGGAAGAGTCCCTGTCATGGAGGCTCCAAACCCTAACAACGCGACGGGAGATAGGGATAAGTTTATATCATAGTTTATTCTCTTTAAGTCAATAGCTCTTTTTAATATAAATTTTTGTCTTAAGTCTTAACATTATTATGGTTTTGCAGAGTACCTTTCTGTTGCAGGTACACAAGGCGCTCGCAATATCGCGCCATGGCGATAGGCGCTAAGCTCCAGCCTCCTTGCTTCTTAATTCTGAACCAAGGTTGCAAGCTAGAGTTATACTCTTGCAAGAGTTTGTACATGTCATTCACAGTTTGAATCTGAAACACAAAAAAAAGCATACACAATGTCAGTCAAAACTAATCATTTCCCGTTGGAAATTTTCATTTTGTCACCCTCTAGTTAGCTGTTTGAAGGTCTCGTTGAGTTTTCCCCAGCTCTTCTGTGAGAGCAGCTTGCAGCTTTTCAACAGAAAGTCTTGCTTCTTGCTCTTTTTCAAGTGAACTAGTTGCAACCTTAACCAGAACAAAAACCAACTTAGAATATCACAAAAGATAAACTTAGCCACAAGTTACTTTTATCCTGAATCTAGCAATTACTTACCAGTTTCTCAACTGTTCTTTGGCAAGTTGCACCTGAAAAGAGGAGAAGTTCTTCCTAAGCTCATGGATAGCCAAATTTAACTCCACTTCCTTCTCTTTCAAACTAACCTCTGCGAGCAAATGCATACAAAGATAAGTTTCTTTTATGTAAAATGTCCAGAAGAAGAAGAAGCTATGTGAATATTTGAAACACACCCAAGTCGGCACAATGCTTCTTGTTCAGCTCCATAGCGTTCTTATCCTTCTCTTGCTCAAATGCGTGTTGGTGTCAAAATCGGTCACGACGGAATCAATGGCAAAAAGTCTCCGCAAAAGTATAAAATAAATCGTTTTATAAAACGATCCTTAAAAAATAAAAAATATAAAGCGTTCTTATCCTTCTCTTGCTCAAATGCGTGTTGGTGTCAAATCGGTCACGACGGAATCAATGGCAAAAAGTCTCCGCAAAAATATAAAATAAATCGTTTTATAAAACTCGAGGATCGTTTTATAAAACTCAAAGAATCATTTTATGAAACTCGAGAATCGTTTTATAGAACTCGAGGAATCGTTTTATAAAACTCGAGAATCGTTTTATAAAACTCGAGAATCGTTTTATAAAACTCCAGAATCACGAGAGATTGGATTGGCCAAGCCGGCCTAGTTCGCCGTTGGGCGAATTAGCCTCGTCTCGACTAGTTCGCCCAATGGCGAACTAAGAGGCGCTGACTTTGCCCTGCAGGTTCTTATCGCCTAATTCGCCATACAACGACCTGGCCAGGCTGAACTAGCTCGCCGTACGTCGAGCCGATCATCCCGAGCCTCGATCTCCCACATCCTTGATTCAAGGCATACGTCCTTCGACACGATCGTATTCCGAATCACGGTCGAAATATCTCCCGTTTCGTCTCGATCCGTCCTATCGTTCGAGTTTTATGATAAAAACCGTAAAACTCTGTTTTCTCGAAAAGAACTCGAGGAAATCGTATAAGACGGCAACGGTTAAACGAAACACCAAATAATGCCTAAACTATACGATATTTTTCGTAAAAATCGTAGAAAACGCGTTTTTAATAAAACCCCGAGTAAATCGTAGAAAACGGCAACGATTAATCGAAACATTGAACATTGCTCAGCTTTACGATTAACTCGAGAAACTTATCTAAAAACGGCATTGTATCAGGAAACGATCTCGTCTAAAGTCGTAAAACGGATTTATCGCAAAACAGCTCGGAAACTCATAAAACGCGATAAAAGCCACTCGCGACTTTAAACGAAGTCCAACCCGAAGATACGACAACGTTTTGGCGATTTACTCGCAGAAAGAAGATAAATGTCAAACTTGAAGATAAATGTCAAGTTTGAAGATAAATAGATGATTTCCGCGGGAAAAAAGGAAAGATCGAGATAAATGGAAGATTCCCATGAAACCCGAATATGGGCGATATGGAAAGACTAAACCACCTAGGAAGGGAGTATATAAGCAAGAGGCATAGGGCAGAAGCAAGGGGACGAATTTCAGAGCTCTCATCTGAGGCTTTTACAACTTTTCTAGACTTAGAATTTTTCGCACTTAGAAACTTAGGCTTTTTTCTCGACAAGTCCGGTTTCTATGACTGGCGCTCAATTACTAGACGAACTCACCTAGCCGGTTCGATCTCTGGTCCAGCTCTATCAACTGAACTACGTTCGACTTGATCCTCGAAAGGGGTACGTAGGGAGCCTTTCATAAGGTTCAGTCCGAAATCAATCAAATCCTTTTTCTTATCTTTATCTGTCTTTTGTTATCGAGCTGCGACTCGATAAGGTTTAAGGTTTTTATGTTGATAACTCGCTGATGGCCCTGCGGCCAAAGCCTTTGTAAACCCTCGTAATGATCGCAACGCTTTTACGCGAAATCGAAATAAGATCTACTTTTTCTTTAAATTCGTTTTATTATGTTTTTCGTATTTTTCCGCATTTGTTTGGTTACTTGTCGTTGGCTTTCGCAGAGATCTGGTTCCTCTGGAAAATTAGGGTTTTCCTAAGTTTCCTTATTTAATGAAAATCGACAAGTGTGAATTTCGGTTCCCACAATGCGTAGTCTAATTCAAGTTCTTGAAACCATTGAATGCAAAGTCTAAGCCTTTTCACCTAGTCCATAGTATTCTCACATCTTTCCTGCAAAAGCAACCATAACACATATAGATTTAGCAACTACAATGTCGAGACTGAACTACCAAAAGAAATAAACAAATCACTCAGTGGTAGTTTTGTTGATGAGAGACTTGTGGATGTGAGGAATCACACCTCCTCCAGCAATGGTTCATTTTATGAGCGTGTCAAGCTCCTCATCTCCTCTGATTGCCAACTGCAAATGCCTTGGAGTTATCCTCTTCACTTTCAGATCTTTGCTTGTGTTTCCAGCTAACTCAAGAACTTCTGCAGTCAGGTACTCTATGATCGAAGCTGTGTAACCAGCAGCAGTGGCACCAACTCTTCCATGTCCTGAAACCCTGGTCTTAAATTTCCTATGGATACGACCCACTGGAAACTGAAATAAGAAAAGAAACAGCATTATATTCAGACACTATACAGCAAAATAAAGAGACTCCAACATTATAAGACCCATCTTACAATTTGTATAGCTATGAACAACATCACAGAGCAGAAATGTTTAAGCCTGTACACTGATTTGCTAAAGAGCTTCATCCATTTAGTTTTCCTAGACTTACCACAACCTTCTGTCATTATCACACAAGGGCACTTCCTTGAATTCAACAATATCAAGCAGATCCACTAACAGGAAGTAAGTCAAATGAAAAGCTTTGACAGTAAACAACAAACAGTTTCATTACAATTGCATAACCTTCAGATCTAATCCAAACGAAACTATCAAGACCTTACATACAAACTGATAAATATATATATATATATATATATATATATATATATACATACTCAATTCCAGACCATACATTTACAAAAACTAAATAAACCAGGAAAAAAATGGATCATATATGACATATATCATATATGACGTATATGAAGTTCTCAAACGCCGTAAGCTACAAACTTCAAGAAAGATATAAACACGGTTCACTAATTGAGATTCTTGTAGAGACACAGACATGTGTTCAAGAAACATGAGCCCTTTATTTTGTGGATGTCTGAATATAAACCTTCTAGAAACATCTGTGTAATGACTTACAATATGATTGGTTTAACCGTGAAAAAACAGAAGAAAGCCATTGCTAAACATCTTTGTTCAAAAAAAAAGCCATTGCTTAACATCTAAATCCAAGAGGGATTCGACGACAAAACAACGAATCAATTAGAGACGAAACTTTTCTATAAACCAAAAAATAAAAAATGGATATCAACCAACCAAAACTGAGAGTAGAATACTCAGAGGTATCGGAATAAACTTGTTCGTCGATGAGGAGCATCTCGAGACCAATAAGTATCTTTGATTTTGGGTTTCGAACCTCCCAAAAATGGATAAGATGAAACCTTAACTCGCCTTCCTGTGGTCTGAATTCCACATCTCTGCATCGGCTTTGGGGGAGGAGTTGGAGTGGAGAACCTCCGTACCGTTTAATTTCTTTTGCATGAGATCAACTGAGACAGCGTTGGTGGAGGAGACAGAGGGTTTTCCGGTACTTTTGATCAATGGAGATTTTCCATCGGGTTTCATGGCGATTTCGTCTTCTTGAGAGTATTGAGAGGGTTCTTTGGATTCTGATTTCGATTGAACCGAACAAATGACTAAGAGGTTTATAAGAAATAGACTCAGAGGGAGTTGGAACGAAAGACATTAAAGATGAGAGTAAAGAGGAGATGAGGTTTGATTGTGAGCGATGATAGAGATCGTGAGTACTGGCCGGATTGTGGAAACGAATCGATGGTTTAAGTCTCACAATCGGTGTTGGGGTCAAAATCGGTACGACGGAATCAATAGCCAAAATTCCCCACAAAAATACAAAAGAAATAGTTTAATAAAACCCGAGAAGTCATTTTATAAAACTCGAAGATCGTTTTATAACACTCGAGAATCATTTTATAAAACTCGAGAATCGTTTTATAAAACTCGAGAAGTCGTTTTATAAAACTCAAAGATCGTTTTATAAAACTCGAGAATCATTTTATAAAACTCGAAGAACGTTTTATAAAACTCGAGAATCATTTTATAAAACTCGAGAATTCGTTTTATAAAACTCGAGAATCGTTTTATAAAACTCAAGAATTGTTCTATAAAACTCGAGAATCATTTTATAAAACTCGAAGATCGTTTTATAAAACTCGAGAAGTCGTTTTATAGAACTCGAGAATCGTTTTATAAAACTCGAGAATCGTTTTATAAAACTCAAGGAGTTGTTTTATAAAACTCGAAGATCGTTTTATAAAACTCGAGAATCGTTTTATAGAACTGGAGAAGTCGTTTTATAAAACTCGAGAATCGTTTTATAAAACCGCGAAAAACCGAAACCGCCGCAAAACGCAAACTAGAAGGTTCCCGACTAGTTCGCCTGCTGGCGAACTTAGCCAAGCTGGCTTAGTTTGCCAGCAGGCAAACTAGAAGCTTCCAACTAGTTCACCAGCAGGCGAACTAAAGATTTCCCGGACAGTTCATCAAACCGGCAAGCTGGATCGGACCGGCTCGATTCTCCGTACGTTGAACCGACCATCCCGAGCCTCGACCTCCCGCATCCCCGATTCGAAACTTACGACCTTGGACACGGTCGCATTCTGAACCACGGCCGAAATGTCTCTTGTTTCGTCTCGATCCGACTTATCGTTCGAATTTTACGATAAAAACCGTAAAACTCCGTTTTCTCGAAAAGAACTCGAAGAAATCGTATAAAACGGTAACGGTTAAAAAAGACACCGAACATCGCCTAAACTATACGATTTATCTAGGATTTTTCGTTAAAGTCGTAAAAACGTATTTTAATAAAAACGTCGAGTAAATCGTAAAAACGCGTTTTTAATAAAAATGTCGAGTAAATCGTAAAAGACGGAAACGATTAACCGAGAAAAAAACGTAGCTAAACATTACGATTAACTCGAGAAATTTACTAAAAACGGCATCGAATCATGAGACGATTCCGTACAAGGTCGAGAAACTGATTTATCGCAAAACGGCCCGGAAGGTCCTAAAACGCCATAAAAGTCCATCTCGCGATCTCAACAGAATCTAACCCAAAGATACGATAAAGTTTTGACGGTTTACTCGCAGAAGGAAAGTAAATGTCAAGTTTGAAGATAAATAGAAGATTTCCGCGGAAGTAAAGGAAGGATCGAGAAAAATGGAAGATTCCCGATACACTCAAATCCGGGCAAAATAGAAATATCGAATCGCCAAGGCGAGGAGTATATAAGCAAGAGGCATAGGGCAGAAGCACGAGACACGAGTTTTCAGAGCTTTCACCACCAAACTTAGCATTTCGGCAATTTTCCGTTTTCGTTATCGAGCTGCGTCTCAACTAGGGTTTTAGTCTTAGATTGCTAGAACTAGGAATTTCGCCGACGGCTCACGCAGCTAAGGCAACTCTCGTTGTAACCGTTCTTACACGAATTCGGAATAAGAATCCTTCTTGCTCTCAATCTCATTTTTCTTTTTATATCTTTCAATTTATTCATATTAATCGCGTTCTTGGTTACTTGTCATTGGCTTTCGCAGAGATCCGGTTCCTCTGGAAAATTAGGGTTTTCCTAAATTTCCTTATTTAATGGAAATCGATAAGTGTGAATTTTGGTTCCAACAGTTTGGCGCTAGAAGGAGGGGGGTCGGATTACTCCTACTCATAGCCGCAAAACGCTTGACCAAAACGATGTCTGGATATATGAAAGACAAAGTCGCAACTCGCAAAAAGACGCTGGTAAAACAACTCTAGCAGCGACTACTCGTACAGCCAACGCCCACGCAAACACTGTAGTACTCAACAAAATCGAAAACCTAATCGCGACTCTTCGCCACAGGAAGAGCAGCGAAACAAGCTCACGATTTCTATCTCAGATCTCTAACGGCAACGATAAAATCTATCAAACCCCGTAGTGTTTTTCTTATTTCCGAGTTGGACAAATTTCACGGGTTGAGCAAAAGACGTTTTCCGAGAACTTTTCTGAAAAATAAAACTTGCTCTCCCAGAAACCACGGAAAAAACCGTAAGTTACTCGCGGAAAAACCCTAGGTTATTCGCGACAAAACCCTAGGTTGCTCGCGGAAGAACCTTAGGCTACTCGCAGAATCGGGCAATACTATCCAGCCAAAAAGACGGTGAGTCGGCCAAGCAACCTAGCTCGCCATCTTTGCGAGCTGACCGGCTTTCCACCTCGTCCTAGAGGCACTGAATTTTCCCCGAGGGTCCGCACAATCCAACTTATAGCTATGGTGAACCTGATCGTACTTTAAACAATAATCGCACTGCTTTTTGTTTCAACTCAATCAAAGTTTCTGTTGAATCGGGACTGTGCTCGCCGACTCACCATTAGGCAAGTTGTACAAGCTCGACGGATCAAAACATTCCATCTCGATTCTTGATCGAGACGCTTTTCATTTCGTCTCAATCGGACTTTCCATCGAGACTCTACGACGAAAACAAGTCAACTCGACGAATCGAGATCACCCGCGCCAAGCGTCTTAACTCGCCGAACATAGAGCTAGCTAGATCGACATACGGCGAGCTGAACCAAGCGCCTAGCTCGCCCAAGGGACGCTGACTTTGCCCCAAGGGTTCTTACCATCCAGATCGCCACACGGCGAGCTGAAAGGGTTCACCCGACTTGCCCTACGTCAAAGCTGAACCAATCCTTGAGTTTCTCTCTCGAGTTTTGACCGCGCTGATTCTCGTTTTGTCTCATCCGGAATTTCCATCGGGATTTTACGATAAAACCGCAAAGACTTGTTTCTTCGTATAAGTTCGAATCAATCGTCTAAAACGGCAACGGTTGACTTAACACCAAAGTTGCCTAAACTATACGAGAAATCTGAACTCTCCAAACCCAATCCGGTTTTACGAAACTCTGCCACACTAAGTCTAAAATATCCAATCATACACACATGATTGATTTTTTCGATATACAAAGCGCACCTAGTTGGTCAAATAAAACCAGCAGTACGAAGAAACAAGAACATGAGCTCCGATGGTTAAGTCTTGTCCCCGCTCCGATACTCATTCTGGTAATTCATCGAAGACCGGTAAGTCAAAACACGAAGAACGAAGAATAGACGATCCCAAATCATCGACGAAACTAAGGTATGTCCGTTTTGAAAATTTTATTAGACTTCTAATTTCTCGTAGGTAAGAAATGAAAACGTCTTGTAAACTGCCGTGAAACCTAGAGAACTTAGAAATTAGAGGATAGTCTAGCATGCTAAGTCGTAGGCAATTTTTGTCTATCCCGATTTGTTGTTCTCTAACCATTCAGGCATAACTCGCAAACCGATCCAATCTCTCGTACAACCGAGAAACGATCGCCACGCATTTGAACATACTCATTTCCTAAAAGAAAGAAGGAGCTAGAGATGCTGACGTCGTCTTAAAACCGACTCGCTTCTAGAAATTTTCGTAAACCAGACATACTCCAAGTCATCGCCAATCTACCACAGTCTTTAACTAACCCGGATTATCGATCATCCGAATCCTTCAAAGGAAACTCGTCTTTTTTCTTTTCGTCGAATATTTTCCCTCGCGTCGAGAAAACGCTTTCTATAAAGCAAACTCTCGCCAAAACAAGCAGAAAAATAT